TAAAATGGTTATAACATTTTTCATTGGATGGCATCACATTTTGAATGAGGCTTCAGTGACCAAGGACTGAATGATGCACTAAATCTCTGGGCTCTATCCTTTTAAAAAGGAGGCTAGGGAGGCTGGAGATGTGCAAATCCTTCAGCACCCTCTACCCACAGATGTTATCAAATGCTTTCTTTCCAACAGCTCACTTGACACTCAGTGCTCTGAGCTGTAGACATTAATGGTGGCATTTTTATCCCAATTATCTAAAAAGCAAGTAGAACTAGAGTGGAAAACAAGGACCCGCCCTCAAGTTATAACCAAATCCAGCAGCCGTACATGCTTGTGTCTGGGAACCATCTGATACCAGCCACTCCCAGAGGCAGAATACACATGGCCACGCATTTGATCCACCATCCCTACGTATCTGGGAAACAAGAAGAAGTAGTAAAAAATCATCAAACATCCAGGGTTCAAGGTGAGATCCAGCAAGGTCAGAGCAGGTGGACCTTGCCAGCGGCTCAAGAGCCCTGTGCTGCATGCAGGGGTAATTGGGGCTACACCAGGTAAAACAGAGCAGACTCAGGTCTCAGCTGGATGTCGTGGCACTCCCCAGGCCAATTCTGGCAGGTCACAACACCAATAATGCCATCTTTCACCCAAGCCTTTCAAAGCAACCTACTCAATCCGTTGCCAGCCCTATCTCCCCAGAAGGGTACGTGAGACCTAGAAAAGAAGAAGGGCTGAAGGACCTTTCAGAGGTCCCACCTACTGCAGCCAGTGGAGAAACTGCAAATGCAATGCGGGCATCTTGAACACGGGCTCCTGTTCTTAATCACTGGGACCCTAGCCACACTGAGGCAGTGGAAATCCTGCCCAGAATATGCTGAAAAGCAATAACCAAACTCGGGAGCATTCAGGAAATTATAGATGCAAAAGTCTGGGTCGCTGCCATCTGCAAGATCCTGGAGGTACCGATAAGATATAAGATCACAAACCATCTGGAAAAGTAGAGGCTGATGAAAAGTGCTCTGCTTAGCTCCATGAAAGCTAAAGTGCCTGACAAGTATGATGGCTTTTTTTTTTTTTTTTTTTTTTTAGGAAAAGATCCACAGGATTAAGAGGATTAAAGTGACGAACATGACATAAAAGAATGCCTCAAATTGCTTAAGGTATGGCAGAGATGTGAATCTCAGCAAAGGGGTTCAAACTAAGCAGGAACTGAACCAAACCATCAGCCCCAAACTGAAACAAGCTAAATTAAGTGTATTTTTGTGGTTTCGGATGCCTTCTTTCTGCTCTAGTTTAAACCCCGCCTGGTAAGATGTTGTAGCTTGTCTGTTCTTCAAAATGCCCTCAACTTGACCATTTTCTTAGTATGAAACATTCTGGCCAACAGCCCAGTCTTAACCCTGCTTCTGCTGTACGATCATCGCCCTATTCACAGCTCTCCTCTGCCTGAAGCACAGGCAGCCAAAACCAGTAAATACTAAATGAGATAACAGAGCGGAGGACGTGTCAATTTTTTGATGTGTATAGGAGGCATCTTCAAACTGTCACAGACAGATCATAGATCCGCCTTTACAGTTCTTAACCTGTATCCCTTCACGCTGTAAAGTCTAACGCTTAAGTTAATATTACATAGATGTTGACATATAGTATAAATCAAATGAGCTTATAAGTCAAAAAGGAGACTGAAAAAACACACCCTGTAGAGCAAAAATATTTTGTGAGGGTTAAGAACTACAGAGCAAATGTCAGACTCAACAGCAAAATAGAAAATTTGCAAATCACAGACAATGTTACAGAGCAGAGGACACAATCCAAGACATGCAGGGGACCTGGAGCGCTCATCGGATCTGTCCCCTTACCCACACTCAGAGTTCAGAATGCCCATGACACCAGGAGTTGTAGCAGCAGTACAGCTGGCTGATGGTGTAAGGCAAGCTTCAGAAGAAATAAAATCTTATATTGAATCCACTGATGTATGTGGAAAAAACAGAAATGTTTTAGGGAGCACCAGCCCTTCTTCAGATCTGACAAACCTCGCAGCCTTGACTTGCCTAGGCCAGCTTTCCAGGTTTCTTTAACATGCTTTTAACCTCCGCAACCTCCTCTACCAGTGCAAGTTAGAGAGCTTTTTCTACTGTTTAAGCTGAATCGTTTTTATTGGTATTTAAGCTCATTATTTCTTGCCGTGTCCAGTATGGGCTGTTCCCTTAACCGTCTTGCACATAGCTGAAAATTGTTATCAAGTCCTCCTTCGGTTTTCTCCTATTTTGGTTAAGAAATCAAATTTTCTCAATTTTCATCCTTTCGAGGGATGTTGGAATGGCAATTCTGATTCAAGTCAGAAAGTCCCACCAGTACCTTATCCTCACAAAGGGCGAGTAAAAGAGTGAGGAGTGCAAGAAGAGAACAAGCACATCGCAGTAATTTCCCTCCTGCTCTCCTGGTACCTCCATCTGTGGCTCCGGCATTTCCAGAGTCAGGGGTGGTATTATTTTGATAACCCTTGAATGGCTCTAACCCATGAATTTACCTAATCGCTTTTGAAACCAGGTGCCCTTTCAGCATACTTAATGTACTGTAGCAATCGGTTCTGCTATTTAATTACATGTATCTAAGAGCTGTCTACTTTGTGTACTTTGAATTTGCTTCCTGACAACTTCCTTAGATGGTTTCTAGTACCTGTATTAGGAAAGACAGTGAGTCACCACTCCCAGTTAATCTTCTCAGTCAGCCATGATATTGCAAATCTCTATCAGCTGTCTCTTTTCCAGACTGCGGAGTCCCAGTCCATTCTTCTTCGTTTGGAGGTCTCTGATTATCCTCATACTCCTGCTACCAGACTCCTTTGTCCTTCAAGATTCAGGCTTGGGTTAATGCAGACAATGACATAATGATGTCATTTGATGTATCTATTTCTCTTAATAATCCTTCTCTCGTCCATTATTTGCTTTTTTGTCAGCTGCTGAGCACTGAACTGAATGTCCTCTGTCTTTCTGCAAGGCAGTGACCACGTATTTGGAAAACCTTCAGCAGCCTCTTGCTTTGCTCTTGGTATTAGTGCCCCCAGATCTGGGGAGGGGGGACCATGCACGCTAATTCTGGGTGTACCCAAAGGCATGCAAGCTTCATCTGTCCTCACCAGGACGTCATCGCAGCATCCTTTCAGGGATGCCACCCGGTCTCAGTTTTAAGCAATAGGGAATTCACCAAGCTGACAGTCTGCCCAAAGGTTACACAGCACCATCATGAGAAAGGCAAGCAGGGGTCTGAATTCTGTTTAAGTGAAGTGAACAGAATTTGGCCCATCATTACTTAGAAATTCTTACAACTGACATTAATGCTCTGTTGACCTGTGTGTGAGCTGCCACTTGAAGGTCCAGGAAAGGCATGACTCTAACAAAAGGGTATGTGCAGGAATTTGCACTCTCCGTTATTAGCACACTGCAGTGCTATTTTCTTGCAACACATTTTGCCACACAATTTCCTTCAAGTTCTCCATTTCATGGGAGATTGCTCTGAAGTGCCTATCTTTTAATATTTTCCATGTTGCACATATTAAATTTCCAGTTCCACAAACTCCTACATAACCAACATAAAATTAGCCAACTATGTATATTAGTATTTTCTACCTTTTTTTTTTTTTACTATTTTCTAAACATCGTATTTAAAAAGTAAACCAGATACATTTGAATGGGCCTTTATAGTGTGCAGGAATCACCAGAGTCCAATAACTGCACGGGTTTTGATGGAGTGGTTTATGTAATATCTGAAATATTAACAAAGCTGTCCCCTGCGTAATGAGCCAGCACTGCATTTCTTCAACATATTTAGAATGAGTCACATAAATCTCCTGTTCAGCACATGTGTCCCTACTCAAAGAATTTCCCTAAGAATGCTAGTTGAGGATTTTCAGGAAATTACAATAGTTTGAATGAATTTAGAACTAGTCACATGTTTAGAACATATCATAATAGGTACTTCAGAAAGGAAACTGAGCAATACACTGTAAAATATTCAATGTATTGTATTTGATTAATGCAAGGTCATAGCACTCAGCACTTCAAAAGCCAGACTATTCACTCGCATCTTTCCACTGTAATTTTATGAAACAAAAGTTTTATCATTAACTCTACCAAATAACTATTTCAAATAATAAACCTGGAATTTAAGATATTTAGGAAATTCTTCAGAAACAGAAACTTTTAAAATATATATAGTTATATCTCTTTTATGAGAGGAAACTGATTTTCAACTTCTTGACCACTGAAAAGGTAAACAAAAATATTTTATCAATGAAAATTGATATTTGATGGACCTGAAGTTACACAGTATTAGAAGATGAGATTTTAAGTGACTGCAAACTAATTTAATTTATAGAGTCAGCTACTCTTTGGAATCAGCATGGCCCATTGAAGAGCTGGGCTGTAAACAGATCACGACCACCAGCAAGTGGTTAGATGCACACAACTTCACGTTAAAGGGAGCGACTGCTGCTCAGTGTAAGCAACAGGCTCCCAACCCAACCTAAAGTATTTACTTCAAAGAGGAGTATCAAAGACTCATCTTGCCAGGTATCGCCCACCTCCCCTGCAGTCTCACAAAACCAGCTTTCTCACACCTGAAAACAAATACCCACCCTTGATGAAAGCAGAAAATATTAAATAACCCCAGGGAAGTGGTGAGATAGGATCCAACCCAACCTGAAGCACTGGGGATCTCATTCTGTTGTGCCTTCAAGGAGCTTTGTGTCTGGACTGGAATGTGCTGACCTGAGGGTCCTGACCTGCTTCATTTCTGCTGTATCTTGTAAGTCAACTGATTTAATAATATCACGATAACAAGGAAGGAGACACAGATCTGCTCTAGTCCAACCCAACAGGCCAAGAAGGAGGCTTAAGCATTAGCCCATGCCTACCCACACGTCTGTGCGGCTGAGTCCGACCCACGGCATTTGCACTCTGTTGCACCCACCGCTCCCCAACTGAAAGGCTCAGACCTCTTACCTTCGATAACACACTGATCGGGGATGGGAATTTTCCTCCCCATCTCTGTGACGTATGCTTTCACTTTACCCAGGTTTTCCTTCAAGTGCAAGTAGAGCTTGTCCTGGTATTCCACGGGGCTTGTCACTGCCTCTGCGCTTCCTTCGAGTGCCTTTTCTTTAGTAGATTCTGGCAAATTTGCTGATTCCGGGTAATCAATACTTTGGTGTGAAACCAAAGAATTTCCCAGTTGTGTTGCTTCAGTATCAACGCTAAAAGGCAATTTGTCATTCTCTTGGCTAATGTAGATGTCGGTGAAGGAGATACCAGCAGTTATCTCCCCATTCTCCTCGTCCTGTCCACTCTCTGAGTTTATCCCCTTCATGCGGACTGCATGCAAAGCAAGGCTTTTGGACCTGGAAGGTGATTAGGGAAAGGAAAAATGTTTTGGAATAGAAGCAAGACACAAAAATCACCCGATTACGTGCTCTTCTGAGTTGCCTCTGTGCAGCTGGTTCAGAAAGCTGAGTGTGGGGCTCACTTAGCCAGAGGCAAGTAACTTTTGGTGAATATGCATTTCAAAAGCAAAACTCAAGCCACAGCTTTAATAAGCAAGTGAAACTAAGTAATATCCATATATCACAACATCTGCATGCCATGAAGGGAGCTAGTCAACCTATCTGCAAGAAACTGATAACCCCAGGACTGGAGTACATGTTTTATTGATCACATCATAAAAATGCCATCCAGCAGCCATTTAACTGAACCAAGACTTCTTCATTGCACATGTCTATATGCTGAGGATGAATTTAACCCTCCGTAAGAGTAAGAAGGGTGGAAGAGAAGTGACTGAAAGGCCAAATACTGGACCAAGAAGAGAAAACCTCTGCTGTGGAGCTGCGGTGCAGAGGCACTCCAAGGACACCGTGGGTGCACGTTGCTGTCTGAGCCCTTATCTCACTCAAGGTCCTGGGAGAGTCACAGTTATCTCACACAGTACACAGGTAAAATTTGATTCAAACATTTGATATGTATTGTTAGCAATAAACCAAGAAAGGTCTTTGTGTCTTCCTTTCTAGTAATATTTGTATGCAAATATTTTCCTATCCCTTCTGCTGGTTTAGAGCGCAGAAGATATTAAATAAATAATTTTGAAAGATGTTATCCAGCCTTTGAGTTCATGGATATGAGATTTGGTTAAAATTAGACTTATGATGTCCATAGGTATCATGGAAGCAGACCAAATTCTCCGTGTTTGGATAAAGTTTTATTACAAACCTGATATTCATGAAAACCACTCACATTTCACAGAGCCATACCTGTTAAATCTCATATCCTTCCTTTCTTCTTTAGAAACCTGGCCTAAACTGTATCTCCGCACTGAGCCAGGAGTACTGTTCTCAACATTTATTTTCTCTTCAAAAGCCTGTATTTTAACTTGAAGCTTTTCATCTTCTTCATTTCCATTCATAACAGATTTTAAATCATCCAAGGGTACAGGAGATTCTGTTTCAGTATCATTTTCCAACCTAAGGAAGTAGAAAGCAGAGATTTAACTCTGGCACACTGTGTTCAGAGTGGTGCCGATGCTGCATTTCTGCCTGTGACCTGTATTATTTATCTGGTAAAATAACTATGTTTCAGCAGAGATTCTCTTTGAGATTGATTAACCATTTTCAGAAACATCTTCTAGATCCATATCTCCGTCAGATGGATCAGAAACGCTGAACATCTCTGACAACACTGGGTTAGAAACTGCATGTGCTGTATCTGCATAAGCAAAACCTTTTTGATAGTCCCAAAGCAAAAAGATTTTCAACTGAACTTAAACCACTCTCTCAAGCTTGCTAAACAGTGACTTACTACATTCTTTTCATAAGCCAAAAGTTGAGCTAATTGCAGAGTTTATAGAAGTCTGTGGTTTTAAAGGTTTGACCAAAGTACATGCAGTTCCTACCGAATTATTGTATTCCAAGTAAGAAAAATATCTTTTAGAACCCAGCACATGGACGGAAACAGGCTCAGGAAAAGCTCTAAGCAATGTGAGTGAAGTTCAGCAAAAGAGAATGAGGAAAGGAAGAGTTAAAATGAACTTGCAGGACTGCAGGACAAGCTGTTTTATTTTAAACTTGATCGCTATGTTAGTCTTAGAATATGTAACCTTGTAATGCAAAATTCGAAGATAACTTTAAAATAGGTTGACGGGAAGCTGTTAATCTTAAAAGGACAAAAAGAAACCGGCTGTCAAATACACTGCTGGTAAAAATTTGCTTTCTAGCAATTAAAATATCCTCTGACCAGTGAAAAATGTTGTCTGCAGTGGAGGCTTAGCAGTGCCAGTGCAGGGGCAGTAACTGCTACCAGCCAAAGCCCTAGGGCACAGCCCATGTCCAAAACCAGGTTTCCTAGATTAAGGTTTTCAGTCTGGAGTGCTGGATTCCCCAAAACAGGGCTTCTGAAAGCAGAGGTTGCTGGGTTCCTGCACAGCTCCGAGCCCACAGCAAGACTCAGTTCCTCCGAATATTGGGCCATTTGCCAGGAACCTAAACCCTGGGTATTGGTACTCTCCCTTGAAGATGCTGCGCGGCCTTTATGCAGGAGCAGCAGGACGGAACTTCCCAGGGGACCAACAGCACACTGCGGCAAAAGCACTGTTGCTCCTTCCCTCTTCTTCAGGGAGCTGCCTTCTGCTGGGGATTTTTATGTTCCCTGCTTATTCCTGCAACTGTGGAGTAACTGGACCAAAAAATCATGAAGCCAGTACAAAGACAATCAGAAATCTCTTAAAGAATTAAGGGGTATTTGACAGTATTTACTTTTTAAACTCTACCCACAGCTCTAAAACAAGCTCGCTTTGCTTCTGACCATTTCTTTCTTTCTTTTTTGTTTTCCTGATGAGCAAACATCTGAATAGCCAAATCTGTACAATACAGATATGGAAAGCCACAAACGAGCATTTTAACACAGCACTTTCAAAGCAGCTGAGTCTCAACAGTCATGCTCACAGTCGGGAAGCCTATTAAAAACTCCCAAATACTGCAAATTACCAATTGTGGAAACAAAAAAGCATGTTTAAAACAAAACAACCACAAATACTGCATCACAGAATGCACTTTTTCATTTGTTTTGATAAAGGCAGTTCAGGATATTTCTCAGGGGAGTTGGCAAGTTTTATCTTGTTTTGTTTTTAATTTAGGCAAGATCCCATAATATATTAACACTGCAGAACACTTTGAAAAAAAATATTCTTCTGTAATAAAGAACCTTGGTATGACCTTTACTAACAAATCTTTCTGGAGATGTGGAACGAGATTTAATTTATTAGAAAGCTGTCACTCCAACATCACTCTCAACACTGCTCCCATTGTGGGAACTAAGCACTAAGAAAAATGTCTGTTACACATACGTAAATACATATAAAGCCCTCTGGCTGTAGAGAAGAGACTGATTGGGTTCATGAATGACAGACCCAAACCAGCAAGCCTTGATGATGTTTGGAAATAAAAATGGCCTTTTATAACAGCACCTTTTTGTCCATCATTCTCCCGTTGAGCTCTGATGGCTTTGTGAAGGAAATACAAGAAAATGTTTCTGCCGAAGCAGCACATTAATGAATCCTATCAGTCATACGTAAAGCAGCAGTAAGTTAGCACATACAGGGCTCATCGCTGCCTGGTGCTGCTCAAGCCACCACCTTGGCTTTGATCCTGTTGGTGCCTGGGATTTCAGAGCAACCGCAAGCACTGCAGGAGGGAGGCGGAGGGCTCAGCCCCGGGCATGCCCCATGGGGACCGCTTCCTCTTATGTGGACCCACTTTGCACTTGCATCAATTCCCAAGCAGCCAAAAGCACATACCCCAAGCGAAACGCTCAATGAAGCCTCCACCCCACGCCCAACGGGATGCCTGGCAGGCCTTCCTGCTGTCCTCCTCTTCCAACAACAGTAAAATAAACTATTGTTTGAAATCTTGGCAAGAAACATTCGGTACATTGCTGAGGTTGCTGGAGCAGAATCAGCTCAGACCAAAGCTCAGGCTGTTTTCGAGAGGAAAAGGATGCACAAACCTATCAAGAAATCATAAGGACCTGGCTTGCAAAGATTGCACTATGCTACTCATCCTTTCACTGCTTTGAAATGCTCTCTAGAAAGAGACATAAATATACAGGTCAGCAAGTCAAGAGCGATACATTAATTTGAAGAGCATTTCTCCAGACCATCAGCACCATTATCAACATCATCAGTCAGGTGCTTAAAATGGGAAAAAGAGCATACACAAATAGAAATCACTAAAAATACACTCAAGATGGGATTGCTTCCAAGGCTTCAACTCTGTGCGGATGGAGGCAACACGAATGGATCAAGTGCAGGTCCTTGTGGTTCGTCAACATACAGACATAATGACCTCCTCAAATAGGATGAATGTGCAGGTTTGAAGAAGGCAAGTGGTGGATAGCAATGGTGATCTCAAAACCTATGGCTCATGGTTGGGAAGCCCATTGAGAGCTTCCAAACATTACTAGGAATGATCACAGAAACATCATCAGCCAGATAAGGGTCAAGGCGGAGGTGCCACAGGGAGCTGGAGGCTGCATCCTCCAGCACTTCATGTGTGGTGCCGCTCACAGGTAGTCAAGGGGGAGACCAGAACATTTTAATAGCTGATGCCAGTGGACACAGGCAAGGGCATGTGCTGCCTGGAGGGCAGCTGCTCCCTGGGGCCAGGCAGGGCACAGATGCTTCATGCAGACGGGCTTCTTGGTGTCCGCGCTGAATTAAATCACACTATAGTACCTTACCAACGTAGGAAAGTCTTAGATGCTATTACAGTCTCTTCACCACTACAAATGTTGATTTAAAGAAGGACAAATACTGTAGAAAATGAAAGGCAAATGAATGGTAAAGGAGTGCTCAACGATGCCATGTGCTAGACCTATCCTCTCCTTTAAAGAGAAATAATAATTTAATCCAGCCACTACACTAAAATGAGTAGCACCAGTATAGCCTGTCATGCTCAGGTCTTACCCAGAACGAGGGCTCGGAAGCGTCATTAAATTTTCTTTCTTCTTTGCTTTCTTTCCTTCTTTTAATTGACCCTGCTATACTGCTAGATTGGATCAGTCCATTAAAACTCTGTATGTGTTCTTAAAAAGCACCTCTGAGCCTGAATAACTTGCAAATTTGTGACAGTAAGGGGCAATGAAGCATCGCATGGTTTTAATTATACTCTCTGCTAACTGCATGTAAAATTCCCTGTGTCAAACAACTCCAAGCCAGCCATCGCTCTAAAGAAATCAGTTTCTTCTTATGTAAACACATGATTCTGGAAGGAATGGTTATAATCCAGCCACACATTTTAAAAGTCTGTTTTCCTTTCACAGCACAAATACTCTGGAATTCTGCTTTTTAAAAACCACGGCAGTTCAGTAACCGTAGCAGCTCTGGAGCTAGGACAGTTTTTCCATGTTGGCGTCTGGACCGGTCCCGCTTACACTAGTATAAGTCAGAATAAACTCTGCCTAAATCAGCAGAGAACTCTCATTTTAGCCTTAATTGCTGTGCCCTACTTGTCCTTGTCCAATTCAGCTGATACTTTGCTTGATACAGGCCTGAAATGTAAAATCAAATACCCAAAAAGCATCACTGTGAAAAATCAGTGTTTCACTGTGATCTCTCATAGCCACGTTGAGATAACAAGACGATGGCAGCTGCAAGCAACCAGGGTCACAGAGCATTGGGGCGGGAATAAAAGTTTTAAAAAATAATTAAAAAATATATTAAAATTGAGCAGCAGATGGAGAATAAGAAATCATTTCAGAAAGGTTTGTTTGAAAGGGCCCAGGGCCTGCCACTGGCTTGAGAGCTGCGTGCAAGGCAGACCCCGCTGCAGCAGACACGTCCCAGGACACGGTTCCTTACCCAGAGGAGCACCGGGAACAGGTTTTCCTTCCCATCCCTTCTGGCTACGCTCACACCTGCCTCGTGGCAAGCACAGCTGCATCACAGGGCCTGTCCTGTCTCATAAAAGCAGCAATTTATCCACAGAAATGTTAAAAACTGATCACAAGAAAACAAATAGCGTGGAGGAACATCTATGTTAAGTTTCTTCCACTGCAGGCATAAGGCCAAACTCTGCCCTTCCTTAAACCAGAACGAACTCTGAGCAGGTCCCCTGCGGCGCTGGGATAAGGCAGGTGCATTTCCATGGTCTTGGTCTTCCCCTACATATTGCCCTCCAGAGTCTGGCCCCCTGACCCCACGGCAACTTTCATACTCCGAAAACAGCAGTTACATTTTCATTCACTTATATGCAGGGCTGTGTTCAAACTCAGAAGCAAACACAAATTAAACAAGCAACCAACCAAAGCCTTTTCCTTTCATGCTCAGTATAATCAGTAGAGTTTTTTTCCTGAAGGAAAATAAGAATGTTTTCTGAAAAATATTATCGTTTCCTCCCCCAGACTCTCCACCCAAACACTATTTTGCATCTGTAACCACACTCATGCAGATGAAGAAGCTTCTACTCCTCAGCAAAGCAAATCCTTAACAAAGGGGGATTTTAGAGAGAAATGGGGAAACACAGCAACAACATTTTAATGAAAACCTTTTCTTATTTTTTACTGTTTTTTATCAGTTCTAGAGATAAATGTTAAGCACAGAAGATAATAAGGAATAGGAATATCACAACATTTTAGCAAATGAAGTAATTTTTCTACCATAAATCAAGAGACCACGATGGGCTGTGGGAATAATTATTAGGCTTTGTTACTGAAGCCTCAATTCCTGTCCTGCTTCACTGCGTTTCCCAGAATACATGCCATTCTCCTGGTCCCCTTCACTAAGGGACATCTAGCATACTCTTCTTCGCAGTTGAACTTGACTAGTTTGGAAAAAGTGTATGGCATTTCATGTTCATTTTGCTATCTCCACTTAGGCTTTTTCACTGTCTTCAATTAAACTTTTCAGAAAATGAGTGCTGAAGGCTCAATTTCAGCTGAGGTTTCTGCCACCAGGTGAAGTTTGGATGTTTCTTACAGCCTTGTTGTAAAATGAGGGACTACATCAGGGTTACTCTCCTTTTTCATTTTTAACTCTCTCCAGGATACCAATTAATTGTTCCTCGACTGACCTCAATGTTTTGGCTCCAGCTCTACAAGTCTGTCTGCAAGGCTATCGTTCATGGTTATGAGTTTTCTGACATCTGTGTTAAATTTTTAAAAGAATTTCTATTCCTTTGTGCCCTCTTGACCTATTTCAGTATACACAATGCTAATTATAAGTCTCTCCCTAATTAAAATTGACTACCACCATATATTTAAATAACACTTATATTCTTACTGTGATGAATGCAGCAACGCTTCCAATGCTTCAGCCTTAGGATATGAATTTGAAAGAAGCTGAGCGAGTTGAACATCCTTTTGTAGAAGCTTGAGACATTTCTTTAAGACTTTTTTTAGCAAATCTGTATCAGGGAGCTACGCCAGTCATTGTTCTCATCGGCTTCAGTGGTCATCTTCTAGAATAAACTCAATAATTGTGTAGCCTGACTGCACTGATTTATTTTTAACTGGAGATTTTTAGATTGCCTTAGTCTACTTATCTGAGACATGGCTTTCTTCCTGTTCTTTAAGTGCTAAAACTTGAACAGCTTCTTTATTCTTCAGTACCAAATGATGCAATTTCTGTTGTGTGATGTTCAGAGGTCATTCTGTCTGGTAGCACGACGTTGGTGTCTGCAGTGCACCTACAGCTCTTGTTGCCACCGATTCTGCTTTAGTGTCAATCATCCTTATGCTTGCATTTGAAACGCACATCTCAAGTTACTTCTACAAGTAGAGATGTTGCCCATCAGGTGTCTGTAAGCTATTTTGTACGCTTACCCAACCCTATAAATACCACAAACCAATGGCTGATTGAGTATATACTGGAATAATACAAGAGAGATATCAAGATGAATGTGAAAATGGCAATGTAGCAACTTACAGGAATTACAGTACATCTTACTTTCAGCTGATTGTTCATTTGTCGCAACTTGAATATACGTAATGTAAATTTATACTGCCTCATGCAGCCACGGAGATGGCTGTGGCTTTATTGGACAAAAACTAGCTTTACCTGACTCCTGATGTGTTGTCGTTCTCTAGCTGCCGGACAAGGAGCTTGGCTATGGCAGTGAAACTGTTGCTCATGCGGTAGATATCTCTGCTCTGGGTGCCCAAGATGCTCGAGAAGGTGTCAGTGAGACTCTTAATTTCCAGCAAAAGAATATGGTGGAATGAGTGCTCCATGTTGGCCAGCTGGTTCACCAAATACACCAGGCATATTCTGGCTTGCTCCTAGAAAACATGAGGAAATAAGAACAATTTTAAATAAATTAATTCATTATTTGCTTGTGTAAGGGAGGTTTGTATGCATGCTGCTGATTAAAACATTGTCACTGGGGAATAGTGCCTCCCCCATGATAACTAACAAAAAGACAACTGCATCAAACGCAGAGTTTATTTTTGTGTATTATTGACGTTACATTTATTCCTCTTGGTATTGCCTAATCTGGGCTAACTTCAGCACACCTTGTCTTCTCCTCAAATGCAGAGTCACAGTCCCTAAAGCCTCTTTGAAGGGTCCTGCATTGCTCTGGGGTGGTAGATCAGCCTGGCTCAGCGATCAGAGCACCAGCAGCAGACCTAGCTCCCCTTTCGTCTTTGGTGAGCCTTATGAGCCTGGCCAAGTTATTTCACCTCCCTATATCCAATTTCTGTGCCCCCCTTTTTTTTTTTTTTTTTTTGCTGTATTCCGTGCTGTTTGTGGCAGGCAAACTCTCTGGTAAGAGGCCCACTGCTCCACTTCACAGGGTCTTCTCCCTCAGGGTCTTTTTCCTCGTGTCCATCCCCAACCTGTTGCCCTTGAGCTGGTGGAGGCACTGGCAGTGACACAAACATGTTCTATATAACCTGCCAGCAGACCTCAGCTCAGCAGACCCCGCGGCTCAGCTCTGCACTGGTTTGTGGCACTGCATGACCCATGGCGGTTGGGTGTCTTCGTTACAGCCTCATTGTATTAATGGGCTAATGTCCAGCTTTTTGCTTTGCCCATGTTATTCTCCACTCCATAACTGCAAATAATCAAGGGTCACCAGGCAATTGCAGTGAATTCCGTGTCTGCCATTAGCCATTACAAATACTTTGCCAGGAGGGAAGATCTATTTTTCAGACCATAAAATGTTTCCCAATCACAATTTCCTTTCTGGACCTCTTGGGTGTTGCTGATTTGCTGTATTTAACAGTGACACCTAACAGCCTGTTGTCACCGGTGCTACCCGATCTGAGCAGGACTCCTCTGGCATGGCATCAGCAGAGGAGCGAGGGGCAGCGGGCAGGAGCAGGGGGACTATCGACATCTCTGCTCGCTAATGGCAAGAGGTTAAAGTACCTCATGAATCACAGGGGTTCTCTCCTTTCATAGCAATGCATTTAGGAGCACCACTCCGATTAGACCCGTGGCTAACTCCAGCATGGAGAAGTTTAAAACGCAATTTCATTTTAAGATCTCATCACACGCGATAAGTTGCTGTCTGGCAGCTGTATCAATCACTGCCAACGCACTGAAGTGTGATATGCCCTCTGTAGCCAAAGTTTTGCTAGCCAATTTTTCAGGGGGATGTGATCTCGCCAATTTATCAGCAAGATCACATTGCCCACAAATTAGGATTAAAGGGGCTGTTTCAGATCACAAAATTAAACATGCAAATATTTCCTAGTAAAGATACTTTATCATCTCTGCTTGGCAAGGGCACACAATTCCAGTTCCAACTATTTCTGTGTGTACATGTACAAATTCACATACTAAAACAGAAACCCCAAAGATGAAGAAACGCATTAGGGTTCCTCTGTTTTGTTATAATTGTCCTAAGTATATTAGGTTCCACAGTCCCAAAAATATCTAAGTGGGAAAAGCAGCAGAGAAAGCAGCAATTAAATCAGGAGCTCATACCAGATCCTCCACTGGGGTAACTGGGTACAGCTCCACTCAGTGAAACCCACTTGGTACTCAGCAGGTTGTTATAGAAATTGGGAGAGATTTTGCTTTGCTTGCGTTTCAGCACAGGCCCTAAAAGGCAAAGATAAAAAAATTCTCTTCTTCCCAAAGGCTGGCAGAAATGGAGGGGAAGTCTTGTGCCATACACATACTCCAAACACTGCAGGGCAATAGCATTATTATCTCTTCTCTTCTGGGACCTTGTAACAGGAGAGAAAAAAATTGCTGAAAGTTTGATTCCAAATACAGCTGGGCCATAAAAATACGCGGGGGACTTTGGCAGGACACGACCCGAGTGTCACAAGCAAGAAATTTTTTGAAGAAAAAGTCTACTTATTTCAAACAAAAGAGGATCTGCTACAGCGTGCCATGACAGAGATAAATGAGAAAAGCATATCAGACAAATTGCTTCCTTCAGCCATATGGGGAAAAACTACAGCTACATCCTCGGATGGGCTGGGATGGTGTGATGGAGTGAGGCTTGAAAGAGGCTGACTTTTTGGTACATATTCACTAGTTTATTTGGAAGACGATCCTCCCTCCAAGAGATAAACACAGGCTCAATTAACATTTAAAACACATTTTTGTTTCCTAAACAAACTGTGCAGCAGACATAACTGGAAGAGAAATTTTGACCATTTTCATGTCACTTTGATCCAGCTGGAGTGTCTCCAGCCATGCTGAAATGCTGCTACTCGCCTGGAGTGAGGTAAAAGAACAATAAACTCTACTGAGTAATAGAATATGTAACTGTTATACAAAACAAAATTACAGCAAAATAGCTCAACATGAAAGCAGTCATTATCCCTGCCACAATTTTTATCCAAAAATTTTCAGAAAGCCTATTTGGATGTACATAACCCATTGTTATTTTAACAATGCTTATTTTATGTATTCATGTATTTTTTCATAAGCATCCCTTGCATTTTATGGCATTACATCTGCCAATAGGTGAAGATCTAAAATATAAGCAATGAGGTGCGGCAAAGTATTTTGCTTTATCTAAAAATCAGGCTCAGGAGACTACAAAAAAAGATCACAAGGCTTTCAGAAGTAACTCCGATTTCCAGTTGGTTCAAAACATACAGTTATCGGAAAAAAAATTATTAAAATGTTCAACTGACCTATGCCCCAAGATGGTGTTTTGCTTTGCACAAATTTATGCTTAAGGGACAAGTTCTGATTTCAGCTTCACCCATGAGACTGTCGCTGACATCAACAGAAGTGGCGTGTATAAACAAGGGGGCAACCTTTAAAATAAAGGGATCTTTTTTCAGCCAAAGCTCTCATCTCTCCAGGGGTCTGTCTGAACTGCCAAGGTGGAGAGAGCGGATCAGTGAAAGCACAAGAGGTTGCTTCTAGAAGCCAGCAGAAAGGATTTTCTGCTCATATCTGCAATCTATACCATAAAGGGCCAAGCCTCAATCCTTGCCACCTCTTTTTCCTCAAGTAAACCTCCCAGTGAAATAAAATATCAATAAATAAAATTCCAACACTACCACTGTCATTTAATTTCCCACTTGTTTTGCTTGGCTGGGAAGGGGATGCTGATTCACGTCTAAGTAAGAACTAGCAGCGTATCTGTAACATGGCTCCGTTACAGGAAAAGGAAGAGGGGGAGAAGTGACAAGTGAGGTTTTCAGGGAGGCATTGCCACGGCGGGCTGCGAGATGAGACCATCAGCAGTGCATGTGTCTACAGGGACCATTTTGCTGCTTGCACGTTTCTACTTGGACCTGATCTAAATAAATTAACTGGCTGCAGTAATGCTTGTCACTTAGCAGTTATGCTTATAGATCAGAGTATTATTTTAATTCTTTCTTGTGGGTGCACTCATTGTTATATACTGAGCCTTTAAGATCTGTCCAGCTTTTATGATGCCAGATGTGTTTCTGCTTATTTTATCGCAGGCTGATTGTCTGCATTGCAGTGAGTGATGACCCATACATCAGAGAAATCCATGGGTTTTTTTTCCTTTTGAGAAGTCTGATCCGTGTGGGAGCATCCGGAGACATGACCTGTCTCTTGGCTCACAATAGGGTGGGGGCAAAATCTGCATGAGGAACCGCCAGAGTAAAGCAAATAAAACCTTGACAAGAGGAAAGGAGGACTACGTGAGATCCACTGTGTTCCTAAACACACACGAGCCACAGGGACCCTCTGGTCATCATGTCTGCTCTGATGCAAGCCCAGGCAATTGTGGACCAATGAATGGCCCAGCAAAGCAGCTCCCTGTACCCCCACAAAACTGTGGGCCACAAAGCTCTGAAGTTCCCTGAAATGAAATAAAAAATCCTTAGGGTAAAGAGACAAAAACGCACAAGTAGAAGGTGAGAGGAAGACCATCAGTTATAACGTCTGTGAAGGAAGAGGGAACTTGGTATGTGAAAACACACAGGTGACACGGGGCAGCAGACTGCATCCCACATCACAAAAGAGGCAAAAGCCCGTGAAACAAAAGTGTTCTACAAGGAGAAAATGGGAAACTTCAAGCCCCCTCCCAGCAACTCTAGCAAAAGTTTTGCACCCAAAATGGTGACTTGCCTTGGCTCCAGCACGCAAAGCCCAGCCATCAGCCAAGCACATTTTAAGGCTCTTTCTGCATCCTTTATACCAGAGGGAATAACCGAACTGGCAGCATGGCACTGCCAGAAGCACATCCAAACCCTTCAAAAGCACCAGTGACACAGACATTGTTCCCCACCACGGAAAAGTCTTGCGGCAGAGAGCAGCGGCGTTGGCAGGGGCGGCTGCCAGACTGCTCAGGGGCAGGGCTGGGGCACCTGGGCACTGCAGACAGCAACCGAGATCTACTGGGCTCCTCAGGCTGCCCCAAAACTCCTCTATCTTGTGCTTGGGTCTCTCCTCACCTGGAAAGCTTGCCTTCATTTTCCCACCAACATGTTCTCCCTGGCTTGAGGCACAGCGTTAGGAGCCTCTTTCTACCACCCCAGCTCCTCCGCCCAGCGCAAAGGAGACAGGTCAGAGCGGGGACAACCTCCGGAGAAGACCCAGTGGTGAGGTTTCACAGGTTTCACAGATCCAGGTGACAGCGTTGTGCAAGCCTGGCACTGATGTCGGGAGCCTCAGACTGATACGGCTCAAAGGTGATTGCAGAACAAGTCTCTGGGGCACTGGTAACTACTTAGACATTTCAATCAGGGCAGATCTTCCCTAATTCAGAATTATTCATGTTTTCTGTCTTTTTAGAAAGCAAAACAAGAGAGGAGCGGAGCCATTTGTCTGACGTTGGAAAGTTGACCTCTGTCACCCTTGGCGCGTTGCTTTTATCAGTGTTTTTGAGTCTCTCTCCCAGATGTCACTAAAACAGAGCCCACTACAAACAAACGCAAAGCGTGCCATCTCGGCAAACACGCGGCGCTCGTGGCGGCAGGGCAGGCTGGAATGCAGTGTGCTGCGAAGTCAGCAGCTTGCAGCTTCTTAGAAAAATAAGACCTACGACATGGGACATAATGCCAGTTAGTTGGCACTTGCAAGAGAGAGATTGGAGATCAATTATTCAATGCAGGCTCACCCAGGCTGCGTGTGTGACGCTTGGTAGTTACATGTATCTGCACAAACCAACAGATTAAAAAATATAAGGATAAAGTGTTCATTCATCTCATATAAGGAGAAAGCAAATCATTTCTTTGTAAACTTCACTGTAGTCTATCATTTCCAACAATATATGAAATACAACATGTCTAGTTGGTTCCTTGCTTATTCTTGGTATTGGTATAAAACAATAACAACAAAAGGCCGGCCCAGCCTTAAACGGTGACAGATCCAAAATAAATTCAGTCCCTTTTAAGTAGCAGAACATAGCAGAAAAGGAGCCTCAGAGATGCTCACATGGGAAGAGCTGGTTTAACATGCTAAAATACAGAATCTGAATTAAATCCTTAAGTTCTGATCCCAGCTGTGCTCATTTGAGGATTAGTTAGGTATAAGCTGTAAAGCTTCTAGGAGATGTTGACTCTTAAGTACTAAATGTAGAATTAAATGTGGTCACCTGCAGTTCTTATAAAAGTAAATCTTGCTGGGGTGATGTAAGTAAACAAGGAGAGAACAACAAACTTCATTTGGCTCACAGTCTTCAATGTGATTTTGGCTTTTCCCCTCCCTGCCCACGCAACAGATATAAGATTTACAAAGCCAAACCAAATCTGGTTTTGATTCTTACAAGATACATTTCATTTCAAATGAATATAAAGCTCAAGATCAGTAGAAATAGCAAGTATAGTGTCTTCCTGTGCTGTACCCACAAGGATCAGACGCCATTGCCCAGCCAATACACACTCAAAGCTAAGTGGAAAAAGAGAAAGAATTGGCCTTATCGCAACAAGTGACAGTAGACTTGCATGACATCCACATGTGCCAGTAAACGGATGCACGGAGGGGCTGCCCCTGCCCCACCCCACTTCTCCCTGCCTCCCACCAGGCTTCCCTGCTCCACAATTGCCATTTAAATTTGTGCAATTGTCTCATCTAAGAGTATTACCACAACGATTCCGAACTATTAAAAAGCTTGTGCAAAGGAAAATTTCCCCTTAAACTTCCCTGCATTTCCCACGTGTCTTGTTTTACCTTCAGCAACACGTAACAGGGCATAACACACCTTGATGCCCTACAATGGGTTTGCCCGACGTGCCTGCACCAGGGTAGGTGACATGCTTCAGGTTGCACCACCGATCCTTCATCATTGAGCAGAGCTGTTGCCTGAACACACCGACAGCCGCCGGCGAGCGGCGGTACAGGGCACAGAGCCTGACCCCCCAACAATGCCCACTCCTGAGATTTAAGAGACTAACTTTGGTTAGGGGCCAAAAGAAACTATTTTCTCTGGAGACAAAAGCCTCTCTGGAGAGTCTCCAATAAGCACTACCGTGGATGACAGCTCATCGTTATCTGTATCTAAACAAGTAAATAGAAGAACCGTGACCTTAAAGGCAGAAGATGAATATATGGAGGATGTTCCCCCGGCACAGTGAAACGATGCAACTTTTCTCCCCTCTTCCATCCAAACTGACCTCCAGCAAGGTCAAAGGAATGACAACCAGAAAGTCTGATTCAGAAAGGCAAAACCTACAGTGAAATCTCTAGCCTTTATGCAGACAAACTCCAGTTGATTTAGTGCAAATTTTGCCTCAAGGACCACCAAAAGGACATGGAAACTGCGGGATTCAGCCCTTTGCCGAAATAAATTATCCTGGTTACTGTATGGCAGGCATCAGTGCCACACTTCAGCAAATGGTTAGATTTATTACATACTGTCCATTTTCTGCTATATCTTCGAGTTTTGTCACAGCCATAAAAATTTGAATTATTTACCAGAAACTCTTCGAGTTCAGCAGAACGTTATTTTTGCCTTTATAGAACCATGATTTGAGGTGGAAGGGAAATGTCTATTAACAGTGGTGAAAGACACATAAGCTCATACATGGGAATGAAAATAAAATCTCATTAAAAATCACGATGTGTCAAATAAATAAGTCTAACTAGTTGGGTGTCCTGGGGACATCCAAGGTCTTGAGCAACCAGGTAATTTACAAGCTCGTGGTAGGCATCTCCTCCAGGCTGTATTTTTAGGAGCTGGGGATAGCAGGAGGGTAAGGCGGGTCCCGGCAGGATCTAAGGCATTTCCCAGTCCCAGCGGGAGAGGGCTAACATCGGATCTTCATGAGCAGCATCCCTGACTGCTGGGGATGCAGGGATCTTTGGGCTGCTCATCGGAGCTGGTATTTTGGGGAGGGCAGAGGGCCCTGGGACCTGAGAGCTGCCTGATGGTTTCTGTACATACAGCGTGTCTGGGGCGGTTCACAGCACCTGGATTCGGTGAACATCGCTCCTGCATCCAGACCACACAGTTATGATTAAAGCAAAAACTTCAGTGCAAACTCATTACACTGCCATGAAACTCCAATAATTTTTTAGGAGTTTGTCACTGTAAATTCTTTTTAGGCATAATGTTCCCATTGGGACAGATCCCAAACCAAGATGTTCCTGTGATGAGGCTTCAGCCCAGCATCACCACTGAGCATTTTCATTATAAAGACATTTCTCAGAAATATCCCATTAACTACAGCTACAAAGCCAAAATATTGGGATTACAGTATACGAGGAAGTTCATATTTCACTGCGTGATTACAACATTCATGAAGGCTATATGTACCTAAAAAATGATATCATACAAATGGTGTGCAAAATACTTCGTTCCTTTTCTCTACCTTTCATTTCACATACAGGTACACTGCAACCTAGCTTAGCTAAGCCCCTGGAATAATGACAGTTACACGCTTTTATCAAATGGGAGGTTTGCCATTCCATAAAAAGACAATTCATATAAACAGAACACATACATGCACAGAAAGAGGTATACAGTAAATAATAATTCAGATATTTATCTTTACAGTTATAAGAATTTAAAGACTCATCTTTTTCATGCTCATTAAGCTCTTCTACAAAGTTTCTTTCCTTCCCACTAACCTGAATGCCATTTCTGCAGAGACTCTTTACTAAAGTGACTGTTCCTTGATTAGAAGGTCAGAAGGCAGCCTCGGTCACTAAAATACCACATCTGATTTTTGTGCTACTTGCTCTCCTAGCCATACTGGTGGTATTACAGTCTAGACCTATTGTGGTCTCATGACCAGGAATATGTTCTAAATCTTTATACAAGATTTAGGAAAAAAAAAAAAAAAAAAAACAAAACAAAACCAAACAACCCAACCTCAAAACCAATCAACCCATTTATTTTGTTTTTAAACTTACCTCATCAATATGTCCAACAGCTCCAAAGATCTTTGCTGTTTGCCCAATCAAATTTGGAAAACTCTCACCAGTTTCTTTCAGCATTGGAAGAAAAGTGGCTAAGGCTGTTGGTTCATAGCTGGATATTTCTATAAGTATGTTTAGAATAATGTCACTATGGTTAGGGTCTCTCAAGTGCCCAAATAGAATCGGTATACACCCTTTCAGCACCTATTAAAAAAATCAGACGGAAACAAATTGTAAATACATTTTTAAATTGTGAACACATATAGCCAAAAGAGGTACTGTACATTGGAGTGATAAAAATAAAACACTAGACTTTGATTTAGTAAAATAGTTTCCATCCTTGCTGACCTCTGCACAGAGCTATTGCTGAGGTCAATTGAAGTTCAGTTCAACATATGGGATAAGGGTAAGCCATAGCCTTGAAATATTGCAGTTATGCATATATAAGTAAGGAAATGCCCAATTGCTAAAAAAGACAAAAAACCACCCTCACCAAATATTTCCCTTGCTCTAGGCCAGTCCTATACTTTATTGATTAAAATAACATAAGACTTAGCCTTAAGTACTAGTAGAAATTTTTGGGTTCTACCGGAAACTAAATAACCTGACAAGGTTAATAGCTGGAACAGAGGAAAAAATAAGAGGCAAGATCCTCGTTGCACAAAAAAGTGCCGTAGGCAAGTTGTTATTTCTTGTAACAACAGAATTTTCAAGAAGCTGAGGGTGTAATCCTTAAAATGATCTTACAAACAGGATGCAGTGTATACAACTATCTACTGAATAATTATCTTTCGTATAAACACACATGTACACTACTATACCTCTGATTCAGTGAAACTATTGCACCTGCGTAGAAGACATTTCAACACAGAAATGGGGCATAAACCAAGCCATTCTTTTGTTATTTTTGAGTATTATCAGTTTTAGCAAGTTGATACCTATCACTCTGGTAAAATACTGCAGGTAGGTGGCCGAATACATTGTTAGTAGTAGTAAATTGTGATAATAATAAGGATGAGAACACAAAACAACTTCAAACGTGGGCTGATGGGCTGAGGCCAATTGCATGAGGGTCAACAAGGCTCAGTGCTGGGTCCTGCCC